CTGATGTATATTCTGGTAAAAATTCTTCAGATTTCGGCAGATTATGCAGATTCTTGTAATTCGGCCAATTCGATCTGGTTAGCTGACTAAGACCACCTTTCATGAAAAAAATTTAACAGTAACTGTTGCATTCTCACACTTGAAATTACTGCAATTGTGCAATAACTATTAGGATCTATACATCCGTCTTTCTAAGATAACTGGAAAAGGAGGGAAAAATGTATACTTGTCAAAGCTATAAATTCAAACAACAATTGTTATAGCATAACTTCTTTTGTGCTTTTGTAAAATATTTAATTACAAAATTAGCATAAAGTATGTTTTTGCTTCATAGTTTGCTGCAAATTTTACAACACAGATGACAGTTATTTTGCCATATTTCTTTATATATAATAAATTATATGTTACAAATTTTTGTTTGTATTTAGCATTAAATGCATAAGGATGTGAATTTGCAGTTCTGTACATTTAATTATATAATAAAATTTTCAATTTTTGAAAGCTTCCATACTATTTCATATTTCCTTAGAAATCATTCTCGGTTCATGTTAATTACAAATGTACGGTACATAAAAAAGGTCAATAGACTTACTCCAAAATTAATAATATTTTGGGTTTTCCAAGTTAATTCGGAGGTACAAACAAAATTTTACAGTTACAGCTTCGAAAATATGTACAACAGGACTTATTATAATTTATATATTCATTATTGTGATCCATAGTGCACAATGAATCTAAAATAATTGTAAAAGTGTGTTTGTATCGTGGGAATAGCTTGGAAAAACCCGCATTTGCCCAGTTCCGGATTCCAACTATTGACCATTTGGGGGACTTAAAATTTACAAGGAGCATTCACAGTCACTTAAGTGAGAAAGCATTATATTATAGTACATAAAAAGAAATATGCAGGTAAATAGGTGAGAATATAAACTTTGATATATAAAGTTAAATAAAGTTTCAGAAAATATGAGCAGATTTTTAATTGTAAATAAGTTAATCTCTCGTTCAACCAAAATCAACTGTGTGCATGTCGTGTACTCTTTAAATGAGAGACAAAAAGAAGTTCTCAGTTATTATTATTTACAGGTTTCCAATTAATGCTTTGCAAGTTTAAGCAAAAGAGCTATTTGCTACATCAACATAATGTAAAAGAATTTGTGTAAATTCTAACAAATTTACATTTTACAAAATTATGATGAGGTCGGAAATGAAATCAGTCCTTAAACAGGGAAATCATGTAATAATTTAAACACTGATTTTAGCTTCAGTTTAATTTCCTTCACCCTCCAGGAAAATATGGAATAGGTGCTGGGTCAGATTGCCCTATATAAATTTAGGGCTTGATCCAATGCTTTTGTTCTTCTCTAAATGGCTGCATGGAGTAAATCACTCAATTCTCCTGCTTTTGGGTGTCTTCTTTAAAGACAAATATTAAAGATGAGTGGCCAGTGTAATCTGCCGGGTCACTTACAGTGTAATATTTTGATGGCCTAGTGGTGAATGCATCAGACTAGTAATCTAATGATCGCTAGCCTCATGGGTTCAAACCCCATCAGGGGCAAGTCGTTGTTTCCTTGCGCAAGAAACTTTACACTCATTGCTCAATGACTGTTTGGTTCCAGGAACGGATTCGAAAGTGTGTCTATAAGCATAATTATAGCTTCCTACACAATCAAACTAAAATAAATTCTGTATAAACCAATATTTAAATAGCTAGATATTAAATGCTGCTAATAATCTGAATATTTCAATATTATACTGAGAATTACTAACCAATCATCAATTGCTTTCTGTCAGACACATATCTCTATCCTTTGAATAACAAATTGCTTTATTGAGTGTAATTGAACTTACAGCATTTGTAGAAATAAGTCACCATTTTCTCTTTGAAATCTTTGGAAAATAAAATCCCCTGAGCGAAAGACTCTGTGTGTGACATCATATAAATAAAAGCATAAACAATTAATTGTCAGGAAGAGGTGACAATTAGGTCTCTTAAGGATATAAACCAATTACTATAGACTAATAGTATAAATCATGAAGGTTGATATATATAATATTGTACATGTACATGCTGTGCATGACTTAATAACGCTCGGATGTTGCAATTTTCTGATAAAATAATATTATCGTATGTTTAAAAAGGGGTGACTTTTAACAATTTTATTACAACTTGAACCAAAAACATTATATTTATATTGCACCATAAAATCATATACCTAAAGTATTAATTATAACCTAAACTGTACAGTAAAAAATTTAAATGTAATCTTATAATATAACCCTATAGTTATAGCTGTAACAGGTGGCCACATATTCTACCCACGGTACTTCTAGTGCAGACCATGATCAGACGCTTACACATCAGCACTGTCTCGGGTCTTGGTCAGCACTATTCGCTATTCAGTCAGTACATACATGTATTTTGAAATTTTCCTTAAAAATTAAAAGTGATGCTGTCCAGATTCACTGGGCTTCAGTTAATGGAAGTTTGGTTATAAATCATTCACTCCTTGATTTTAGCTTGTGACTTCCAGAATCTAATACTTTTTCTTCTTTACCTATATAATGTGACTTCCAATATCAGAGATTTTGCAGTGTCTGACTTCCAAATATTGAAGCCTTAATGGAAGCCCTGCAGATTGAGTGATGGACAAGTCTATTTAAGATATTTTGCGTAGTTAAAGCCTGAATTATATGTCTGTTTCCTTAAATTTTAAGTTTTTCTAAATACATGTAAATAGAAATTGAATAATTGTTAGATTATTAAGAAAAATGTTTCAATCAAACAGCTTTGTTTTCCTGCTCACAAAAGTAGTTCATTTAGCTAAGTATATTTTCCTAATTTATGGAGTTACACAACATGATTGCATGAATTCTAAGGGATATATTACCTTGACCAGAGTGCAAGATCTTCTCATGATTTTAAATTTATGATAGAAAAATCGTGGGTATATTGAGGAAAGAGTAGCAAAAAATAATCTTATATTGTTCCGTTAATAAATGGCGTAGAAGTACTGTATTACCTATCACATGGTCATGAATTAGATTGCAATTCCTTGTAATCTAATTAAATTAGGACAATTTCCGTTATTTTGAATCATGAAGGGAATTGTGGGAAATAACGGTATTTCCTGTTCTGTTCTTATATGATGATTATTGTGATAAGGAAGTAAATTCATTATATATAATTATTTAATAAATGATGTAAAACTTATAATTGAATTGTGATAGGATTTATTTAAGAAAGAAATGAGAATTATATAAGGATACTGTATAAAAAATTAAGTCATGTCTTGAAATAAGCCATGTCTATATCATATCACATCTAAGTTACATCTTTAAGTCAAGTCTTAGTTACATATTTAAATGATATTTTAGTTTCATCTTAGTCAAGTCACAGACACACTCTTTAGTCATATTTAAGTCACATCTTAGTTGTGCCACAGTTAACATCTTTTAGTCACTATTTAAGTCACATTTTAGTCATACCACAGTCACTTTTACAGCACATCTTCATCATGTCACAATGACATCTTTTAGTGACTATCTTAGTCACATCTTAGTCATATCTGAGTCAAATGTCTTAGTACCATCCAAGGCATGTCTAACATTACTAGACTGTCATGCAGACATATTTAAGGGAGACCGCGCACCACAAGAATGGTTAAGAAAATCGCAATTAAATAATTTAAGATATGTTAGAATTAGAGAGCATAATTATAATCATCAAATTGTGATTGAAAAAAATTGTTGAAAGTACATATTTCTTTTTCATTGTCCTAAAACAGGACCTTTTTGAGCTACTGTTATATAAACTTTAAAGTTATTCTGTATGTTATAATACTACAGTTTTACTTTAACCCCAAGCCAGTATTAGCTGTCAATTTGTAAAATATCAAATGGTTAAGTGGACCGTTATAAAAAATGCTAAAAGCGTTTAAACTTAATTAGCGTTATGCACCACATATAAAGGAGAGGAAAAATAATACCTATAATTGTCGCTGTTTGAAAATCCATGAATGGTCATATTACTGTTCATTCAAAGGTTAGTGTACAGTGTGACTAAAAATGTTGTACTGTCACATAGGTAGCAGTTCTTTTTCACTGAAAAAATCACAAAAATAAAAAAATTGCCACATTGACAAAATCATGCTAGTTATATATTACTAACATTTTTCAAATAAAATTTCAGTAAGAAATTAAATTATTATTTAGAAGTGTCAACCGGGTGAGAAAAATGTGCAGCCTGACCGGGACTCGAACCCGGGACTCTCAGAATACCGTTCCGCGGCTCTACCGACTGAGCTATCCGGCCGCTTACACATCTTCTCTCCTAAATAGTGAACAGTTCTGAACCGTGACATACTTTACCACAATATTGAAATTCGTCCTCGAATTTCACAAAGCTACAGAGCAATGCTAATTGAACTCTGAGCTATAAGCATTCACGGCCCCACGTTGGGTGCCAAATGTCACAGGGTGAGAAAAATGTGCAGCCTGACCGGGACTCGAACCCGGGACCCTCGGAATACCGTTCCGCGGCTCTACTGACTGTCAGCTATTCGGCCCCTTACACATCTTCTCTCCTAAATAGTGAACAGTTCTGAACCGTGACAGAAGCATCATCTGCTTCTATAGGATTGTTATCATCATGCTTAGCAGACTTTATATATTTCACATACCCATTTGGCTTTTGCAACTCCGTAAAAATGGTATTGCACCACCATGCATATATTTTGATGTGACGTCATTTGCGTTATACACATTATAAGTGTAAAGACGCTCTAAATGTTAATGTTACACTATAAGCACGCCAATGAAAGATGATTCTTTTTCACTTCAAAAAGACTTTATTTTTGGTATGTGATAAATAGAATATTATATTCGTGAAGGTCATTGCTGAATTTATTGAACTTGTTCGATAAAATAATATTATTTAACTCGTTCAATAAATTCAGTATTGAACTTATATATTGTATAGTGATGACCATGTTTATAAAGCAATGAGTAATACATTTGTGTTTTATTTTTCAGATCAAAGTTATGCCAGCAGATGAAGCTTTTTCATTTGATTACAAGGTAATTATTACTAATATTTTATTGTTCATATAAAATATGATACATTGTAACACGGGCCTAGATGACCAATTAGTGAAGGTCATTTATTCACATTGATCTTTTCCCATACCACTGTAGGTTTGAAACCTGTAAGGTGCTGGTGCTGAATATGCCCATGTTAACCAGTGCAGACTTAGATCAGGCAGTATATAAACCAGTGTCATGATAAGACTGATCATCGTCTGCACAGTGTTCACTATTAAAAGATATTTAGGTCCTAAAAGAGTTAAAATGTGAAAAAGCTATATATTCCTTGTAAGCTACAAACTAAGCCTAAGACTGTGGGTAGGAATCCAAGTACTCAAATGATACTGAAATTCATATGGCACCGAAAGGCATCTTTTTAATCATTTATGATAAAAACGAAAACATCAACTACAATATTCAATTGAATAAGGAATTTATTCTTGATTTGGGATATAAAAGGTCAAATTGGTTTCACCAAGGTGCTTGATCAATTGTCCAGGATGATCGTCAGACAGCTTTGATCTTCATCTATTATAAAGTTCTGAAAGTGACATTTTAACAGACTGAAATATGTGAGTGTGACTACAAAATATTAAATTCCAAAAACAGATTTTTGTATGTCTCAGATTTAAAATGAAATTTTATAAATTTTTGCAAAATAATTGTATGTATTAAAATTTATGCATTCATAAATTTTGCTTACAATTCATAAAAAAAGAATGACGGTGTACCATATTACATTTCAAATTTTTATATGAAAAGATTCTGAATATTGTAGTTAATGTTCTCTTTTTTATGTACATTTGAAGCGATGCTTTTTAAAATGTTATTATAGACGAACCATAATAGACGAAAGATTTCCGCAGAGTTATTCATTTTGATGTGTCAGATGGGTAATGTTCTATAAAATTACTGAGTGATGCATTTCGAAATTTTAATAAATGTTACAATTTAGTTTTCAAAAATACATATTGTATCTAAAATCAACATTGACTTTCTTTTTATCTTAGGAAACAAATTAAATTAAAGTTTTTTAGAAACATGATAATAATAATGCATTCTTGTTGTTGAGTTAATGCTTTGATGTTGTGTGATATGACATGTAGTAGGCCACTTTAACTTACATAGTTACTTCCCTTTATACTGGAGCCCCCATTTGTATATATACATATGTAATTTTTTTCAATTTGTATAATCTATATTTTTTGTATAATTTCAGTGGGATATTGTGAAAACAAAGGCACAGTTGATTTTGGCAAGCAAGATTGTGATGCTCAATAGTGGAAACTGGGAGAGTTTGGCCAGTTTAAAGAATGTGTACACTAAAGAAATCTTTTGTGAGCCACTGGTGAGTGCTGTATAATACTGTATTATAAATATATATATTCATAAAGCACCATTCAATATTTAGTCCATTACCCATTGTAGTCCCCCACTATTCCATTGGTCTATTGCAAATTCTTTTCTTGTGACTCAAATTTTACTGCAACCATGTGTGAAATATTTTGCATATAATAGATTTCAAATTAATGTAAGTATAGATTTGAAAGGTAGTTTGTAAATCCATTAGTAAATCCATTCAGATTTTAAAAGTGCCTTGAATACAAAATAATGCAACAAAGTGAAAGTTTTAAACCGAAAGTGACTTAACAGTCATCTGACCTTTTGGCAGGTTTTATGCTGGGATTATAAACTTTCACACTTAAATCTTCTAAGGAGTCATTGTTATATAAAACTTGAAATTTTACTATACAATAATGAAATTTTATGTAATTTCATTGAGTTTTAATTGGCTGAATGGTCATTAATGTGACATGTTTTTAATTATTTTAAGCCCCTTAGTTTAGATATTTATAATGATTTATAGGACATTATATTTCTACAATATTACAATTGATTGCACTTAAGGAAAGTCCTGACCCGAATGAGGTCACTTTTAACACAGACAAACAAGTGTGTGAATGATACAATAAAACTTATACAAGAGCTTTGTTCTTAACTTTGGTTCTTCTCGGCAATTCGGAAATTTATTTATTTAGTTCATCTGGGTTTTTGAAGTGTTTGTAAAGATTAAATGGTCCTAATCATATTGATACGACAATCCATAAAGATTATGTGGTAATGTGGTTATTTTATTTCAATATTAGTTGTGATAATATATCCATTTTGATAAGGAAATTGTTTAATAGTCAGTGGCAAAAATAATGTTCCGCATTTTAAAGCAGCGTGCCTCCAGATGCATGCTAATTTCATGAAATTTTTTAAAATGTATGCACAAGTAAAATACTGTTAAGTAAACAAAGAAAGTAATTTGCACTTAAAAAAATAAAATAAAAATAAACACCAAAATTGGTCAAAATATGCAAAAATAGCTCTTACTGCTTAAGTCATGCTATACAAATATGGTAATAGATTATGCATAATCATTCATTAAATGCATATTATATGTTAATTACTTGAATCTTGAAGCATTTTACTTACGATGGTTAGGAAACTACCCACCTATATGACTGAAATACTGTTGGGAAAAGGCGTGAAATGAAACAAACAAACAAACTTTTTTTTTAAATCTAAGTACATTTTTTATTTAAATTTGATTTTCTTTTTGGCTGATCATTTGGAGGTATGCAGCTTTAAGACTTTGTGGGAATACACAATCTATGTACATTTGTATTATTACAGTTTCAGAAGTAATGTTAATTTTAATAATATTTTGTAAGTTTATACCATTTCATTTTGAGTTGTAAATCATACACTCAGCACTCAAATTGTTTTGCGCCCAAAATAGTAACCTAGCTGTTTGTTGTTTGGCCGTTTCTAAAATTGTGGTATTTTATACAGTAATAAGGAGTTGTTTGACAGTCTCTTTGTAATGGTCCCACTATAATTGGCACTTAAAAGGTATTGCAGTTTGAGATGTTATTTTGAAATGATTGCCTTGTATTATGGCTGCTGTTTCACAAATTGCAGAAATAATACAGTAATTTTTTCCAGTCTTATGTGATTAGGTCTGGGCCTTTTGAAATGTGAAAATTAGCAACTTTATGAAATAATATTTGTGAATAAGGTCTTATTTTAGATACTGTTTTAATTAGCTATATTATAGTATTAAATTGGGGAAAAGTTTAAAATCATGTGTTGGAAAATGCCTGTAAATGATTCATGATTTACACACTTTATGAAAATCTAGCAACAGTCAGTTTAATGTCTCTAATTTCTCATGTTTTTAAGGCATGTTTGTCCTCAAAAATGAGAGAAAGAAATTTATTGTAATAATCTGACCATGTTGTTATTATGACAGTTTCAAGAGTTGTTAAAGCTACTGCATGTAATGTCTTAAGTAAATTAGCAGTTTCATAAATTATGATGATACATTGGAAGTATTGTGTTCCAGTTTCCATAAGTTTTGATAATACAGTACAATGAATCACAGTTGTTTTTTTGGTTAAGATAAAGTGCTGGAGATCTGACACTTTAAAAGTGCAGACAAATTGGTTCCTGGTGTAGATAATTATGGTAGTTTGCTCTTCACCCAGGAGGTGACATTGTGCATGTATCAAGATGTTGTTCTCTCAGTCTATACTGTTGAAATAGACATCATAATTATAAACATGTTTACATTTTGTACGCTGTTGTTGTATAATATGGCATTGTAAGTGCAGTTGTAAGTGCAGTTGTAAGTGCAGCATTAGGTTCTTTATTTTCTCTCTAATTTTGTACAATCATGGTTACCCATGCATTCTGTGATTGTTGGTAATTGTCGACCTTTAGAACCATTAATGCATTCCTGAATATTTAATATTTGTCTTATCTGACAATAGACATGAAAGCTGTCATTTGTTTATACAACATTCATTATTTAGATGGGTAAATTTGATTTCAGGTAAGATGTTTTTGCGCTAACATTCCATTAAGATTAAGTTTCACATTATCCTTGCTCTTACTTAATGTGGGCCTTGTCAAGGACAATTTTTCCCCGTTATTTAAATTTGCCGAGGCAAGGCGTATTAAAGCCGAGTGTTCACTCAGACACGTCTTGTCAGATGTTATACATTTCTCTCTTCTGAGAGTTCTGCTAGAAAATGATGCATTAGTGGCATTTACAGGGTATAAACATTAAATGTGCATTATACATGGTGCAAAACTAAGAACAAGTGATGATAATTATGTCTAGGAAATACATGTTTCGCAATCAAATTGTAATTATGAAAGGGGACCTGCCAGAGTGGCCTAGTGGTTAAGGTGTCTGCCTCTCAACCCAGGGGTTGTGGGTTTGGGCCCATTTACTCAGGTCATGATCATGATTTCTTATATGACACCAGTACTGGTTAGTTCCATAGTGATAAATATAAGTTGCAGCAACTTGTTTAGCAATCAAGCTAAAATGAATATGTTGAAAATAATTACAAAATGTGTTAATTATCGTCAACTTAGTACAGTAAGGATTAACTCCCTATACATTTTAATAGGAATTACTGCACTATGAGGAAGGTAGGTTAAGAGCAATCAACATTATAATTATAGACTGTCCACTTTGACTGTATGAATGTGCATTGTCTTAGTAATCACAGGTAATATAGTTACGGCAGGTATATTTTGTATTGAACTGACTGCCATTTAAAAGCATTCAACTGATGCTCTAATATAAAGATTTCACTATATTGCCTATCATTTTAATACACTGGCCAACAACAATCTGTCTGGACCCACTCAAGCAGAAAATGTTTCTAAATGAAGTAAAACAAGAATCTAAATGTATTGCAAACTAAATTGTTACAATGTAATACCACAGATTTGTAATATGATGAAAAGTTGCATATTAATTAATATGTTTTAAAAGCATGCTATAATTGGTCACTGTCTTGTTATGCAGTGATTTCCCTTAAAGGCCATCATTAAATTTAGGTTGAAATAAATGGTGTTTGTTACTAAGCCTATGAAAACTCAAGGGTCAATGACCCATCATACAAAATTTTCAAAGGTTAAACTCAAATATTTAAGAGTCAAGCTCTATCTATTAAAGTGGGCCAGTATTCAACATTGTCAGTCAAACCAAAGCATTATCTTCTCATTAATGAGTTTTGAAATGCATTTGGAAATTTTTATTCACAACCATTTTCTCCTGTTGAAGTTAATTCTCAATATATCCCCCCCCCCCCCTTCAAATTGGCAAGTGTATGTTTTGAAATTTATGCTTATAGTGAAAATCAAGCAAAAGCTAGTGAAAATCACACAAAATATTCATTCATGTCCCCCTTTGGAAAACAAATAGAATTCTATAATTATTATGCCCTTTGGAATAGTGCAACCCTATCTGTTAAAAATACCTTGATAAATGCCCAATAGATAATGTGAGGGCTTCTGATATAATCAGCAGAAAATTTATTGCCAATCTTAACGTGTTGAGGGGGTTGCAAACTTTTGATTACAATTAGTGTATATTCCACAGGGGGTTTGACATTTTACTTGTTGTCAGGGAGCAGGAGTGAACTTTTTGTGGGATTTCCACTACTTTTTGTATGGTTTTCACTATAAAAAACATAAGTTAATGTCCAGATCTCAGAGGGGTTTGACATACTTAAACCAGATCCGAGTTGGGTTAATTACCCCCTTCTCTCTGTCTCAGGACCAGAGCTTGGAGATCTTGTAATGATTCTTACTCTCTGTCTCTGGACCAGAGCTTGGAAATTTACTAACTGTCTCTGGACCAGAGCTTGGAAATTTACTAACTGTCTCTGGACCAGAGCTTGGAGATTTACTAAGTAATTCTTGCTTGTGTCCTTATTCATAACAATGCTTTTACTGAGTCTTATTCTGTCATACAGTTGATGTCAACCAATCATAATTATGTCCTTGATAGCTTCAGATTTATTTCTTTGTAATATAACTCCATAATTATAAATGTCATATAATATCCAACTTATGTTTATTGCTTTGCATTCTACTTTGTAACATTCTATACAATGTTATTTATTACAGTTTAATGGTAAAGATATTTTGAGATATACCCTAATTTAAATGAATTATTTTCTTATGTAAGTTCTCATAAATTTGGAGTTTACTGTCATTATTTTTGTGAATTGTGAACAATCATAGAATATAATAGAACTAATTATTATTATTATCTGTTGTTAAAGTCCATGCTATTGTTAAAGTTAATGCATGTAGTTTAAGTTCTTCAGTGTACAAAAGAAGAAGGAAATAAAAAAAATGCAAACTACACTGTTTTATTGATATTTCAAAACAGTTGCTAGGAGATATAACGTTAGTCTGTTTTTCCACTAGTAAAGAATTTTAGATTATGACAGGCAAGCTTGCACATTACCCTTGCATTACTGGTTTGAATGACCTTTGCAGCCTTAATTCTGAAAGTCCGGTACAGTCTTGGTTCCAGTGACCCTTGCAGTCTCAGTCCCAATGACCCTTACATTTTCTGTTTCAATGTTTGGCTAAAAAATGATGTTTGTGTTTCCTCAATTTTTTTTTTTCAAAACCATCAATGTTTTACTCCCATTTGCAAATATCTTAAAATTTTTTATAACCTGGTTTCTGTATTTATAATACAATTGTTAACTTGTGTATAAGATAGGCATGCTCATAAGACAGATGTTACCTTTCTTTCGACTGCTGTAAAATTGAGTATGAAAAAGTTTCAGGAAAAGGTCCATAATTTATAATGCTGTTATGCAATAATAATGTTTACGGGATAGAATTATAACATATTGCAGACTCTTTCACGTTTTCTTTTATAATACATATACCATCAGTTAAAAGACATTTTTATACATATTTCAGGGTACTAAAAGATGGAGTAATGACCTGTTTTTTGGACATCAAAGAATTGCTAGCATGAACCATTCCTGTATAGAGCTGTGCACTGAAATTCCAGACAAGTAAGTATAGAATTTAGTCAAACTTCATATTTGTAAATTAAATTCAAAACGTCTTTTCTGATTCTATTGAATGTACCATAATTATCTATTTTCTGTTAGTTAAGATTAATTATATTATTATAAATTAATTTTGTTACTTTATTATTTGATGTTTTTTTACTCTAAATATCTTAAATGGACTTGTTCATCTTCCAATTTGGAAAGAACCATTTATAGAGCTAGTGACCAGCCTTAAAACATCCATGCAGTGCCTGACCAGGGGTTTAAAACTGTTGGCTGAATTTTCATCTTGATATCCCCAAACTTGTTAATGAACCGTTCCAAAAATGGAAGTTGCACATGTTCATTTTTAAATTAAGAATTTCATTGACAAAGGTGAATGCAGATGGTATTTTACCTTCTTTTGATTTGTAGACTTGGTGTGACAGAGGAGATGTTGAAGCCATTTTTGGAGGGTTGGTCATTGCAACAAGTCCTCGATGCCAAACGGTTGTTTATTGTTGATCATAAAATATTAGAAGGGTTGCCTTGCAGAGACGGATTTAGTGTGAGTATTGAATACTTAATGTTTTTTTTTATTTGAATTCCAATAAATGTGTAACAAAAGTCTGCTTGATTAGTGATATAGTGATAGTAAGTTTGAGGATTGCTAGTTATACTAACCTTGAAGCTTGATGATCATCACATGATTGTATGCTTCCATCACAGACATGTTTTTTACTTGAACTTATTGTGATGGTAGTTCATTTAAATTTTCTTTAGGTTGTTTATTGATGTTTGAGTTAAGATTAAGAAAATGGAATTATTTTTGGATTTGGAGACGTCAGTTTGTTTGGGATGGCAATGGCAGGAGATTGATTCGCACCCCGTTAGTGTCTTGATTGCTTAATCTTTTGCATTTGTGAAGACCCCCTAACCTACCTCCCATTTTAAATAAAATGAAAATTTTAATGCACTTAAGAATTTAAGATTTGCTCATTTTCAAGATTATGTCTTTTTAAGAGGAAACTGTTGAAACTCTTTTGTGTTCTTTTTCTTTTTTGATATTTTTCGTGCAGTGTTAAGTTATGATATATGATGCATCAACTTTGATAATTTTTGCTCCAGTTTGAACTTCTCCCATACTTGAATAACCACTTTTAATATTTAGGACAAGGTACTATATTTAGAATAGGTTATCATAGAATCTATATTCTATAAATAGATCATTCAAATAAGCTAAGCATGCTTTAAAGAAAGTTGGGTCTTTTTTAGTGAACTTCTTACACCAACCACATATGGAGCATATAAGTGGCAAATTATACCAGACTGAAGTAAATCATTCATATTTTCAATGATGCAGCAATTTATATGATAATGTTACTCATTGACATTTATGATTTATATGATGTTAAATTTCATAACCAAAAAAAAAGACACACACTTGCCTGCACATCGGTGAATCTTGCTCGAAGCTGAGATGTTATTATGGAAATGATGAATTAAAATTTAAGATGAAGTCATGGTTTTAAAATGTGGCAATAAATATAAAAAATAGCTGTTATAACAGTTACCCGGTAACCTGCTGTGATAAGGCAAGCCAGTTTGCAAATCTGTGCAGTTTAAATGTCCGTAGCTTAATAATTGTTGTATTTGGATATTGAAATTCCTTAAATTGACTGTCCCAAATTCAAAACAAGGTAAATCCAATACATTTATTTTAGTTGGTAATGGGATAGAAACAAAGTCGGATCTTCTTCTATACTGAGTTCTGACATTAATCTACTCCCAGGCTGAATTGTTAACATTGCAGACTTCAAATCACTTACACCTCACACTTGTGGGTTCGAATCTTGTCAGGGACTTTGGATTCTTTCATGTAAGGCAGCTTTCTAGCCAGCTTGCAGAACGTCGATGGTTCTAGTTACTCAAGTGCCTGCTTATAATAAAGACATAATGCACGAAAGGGCCCCTTTGGTCATTCTCAAACAGCATAGCTGGAAAGTAGCCATTTTATAAAACTTCTTGTTATGTCAGATCGTAAACTTTAGAAACATTTTCTAATAATGATGAAAACAAAATATTCTCCATGCCTTGAAATGTGTTTGTTTTGTCATGTAGCTGCCTTACATTTTCATTTATGTTCCAATATCACTAATTGATGAAAAAATGCACAAATGTGTTCAGTTGTAAAACAAGTAGCTGTGGAAATAGCAAAAACTTAAATTTTACTATTTGATATTATAACTAACTAAAACTATTATTAACTTCATGCCTCGTGTGGATTCAGTAATAGAATTCCTGTTATTTTATAGCATTAGTATGATATTAATACTTTAATCCCCAAGCTAATTTAAGTCATTTAGAATTCTGCAGCCTCATTTTAAGCTCTCTGCCTGGCTGCGTTTGAAAATTATCAATGCATAGCAAATACTGGAGAGAAAATATTCTACAAATGTTAATTATTTATTTGTCTATAGATAATTACATTTGTAAATGCCACTGATAATATGGTCAATAAATTACTCTATTTATACACATTTAAAAAAAGCTTTGTATTATATGTGAAAATGCAATATCAGAGAGTTGCATGTAACCC